GGGACACTGGGATTTGGGATCACTGGATAGAAATGGGATGGGAAGGACCTGGATCTGGGACACTGGGATTTGGGATCACTGGATGGAGATGGGATGGGAAGGGCCTGGATCTGGGACACTGGGATTTGGGATCACTGGATGGAGATGGGATGGGAAGGGCCTGGATCTGGGACACTGGGATGTGGCACCACCGGTTAATGGGGTGGGAAGGACCTGGATCTGGGACACTGGGATCTGGGACACTGGGATCTGGGATCACTGGGGTCTGGGATCACTGGGATCTGGGATCAGTGGCTAACAGGATGGGAAGGACCCGGATCTGGGACACTGGGATGTGGGATCGCTGGTTAACAGGATGGGAAGGACCCGGATCTGGGAACACCAGGATCTAGGATCAATGGTTAATAGGATGGGAAGGACCCAGATCTGGGACACCGGGATCTGGGATCAGTGGTTAACAGGATGGGAAAGACTCAGATCTGGGAACACCTGGATCTGGGATCACCTGATGGAGCCAGGATGGAAAGGACCCGGATCTGGGACACTGGGATGTGGGATCACTGGGATCTGGGACACTGGGATCTGGGATCAGTGGTTAACAGGATGGGAAGGACCTGGATCTGGGACACTGGGATGTGGGATCAGTGGTTAATGGGATGGGAAGGACCTGGATCTGGGAACACCGGGATCTGGGATCACCTGAAGGTGCCAGGATGGAAAAGACCCAGATCTGGGACACCAGGATCAATGCTAATGGGATGGGAAGGACCCGGATCTGGGAACACCGGGATCTGGGATCACTGGTTAACAGGATGGGAAGGACCCGGATCTGCGATCAGTGGTTAATAGGATGGGAACGACCGGGATCTGGGACACCAGGATCAATGCTAATGGGATGGGAAGGACCCGGATCTGGGAACACCGGGATCTGGGATCACTGCTAATGGGATGGGAAGGACGCGGATCTGGGAACACTGGGATCTGGGATCACCTGATGGAGCCAGGATGGAAAAGACCCAGATCTGGGACACTGGGATCTGGGATCACTGCTAATGGGATGGGAAGGACCCGGATCTGGGAACACTGGGATCTGGGATCACTGGTTAACAGGATGGGAAGGACCTGGATCTGGGAACACCAGGATCTGAGATCACTGGGATCTGGGATCGCTGGTCAACAGGATGGGAAGGACCCGGATCTGGGACACTGGGATGTGGGATCACTGGGATCTGGGATCAGTGGTTAACAGGATGGGAAGGACCCGGATCTGGGACACTGGGATGTGGGATCACTGGGATCTGGGATCAGTGGTTAACAGGATGGGAAGGACCCGGATCTGGGACACTGGGATCTGGGATCACTGGGATCTGGGATCAGTGGTTAATGGGATGGGAAGGACCCGGATCTGGGACACTGGGATCTGGGATCACTGGGATCTGGGATCAGTGG